GGCCTATAACTCTTAGATTTGCTCCTTTGAAGCTGTTATCTAGATCTTGTAGGCTTGTTTGATTCTTTATTCCTTTTTCTTTTTTCTTCTCTGACCGTGTATTTTCAAATAGCCTGTTTTCAAGCTAATTCTTTCTTCTGTCTGATCATTTCTGCTGTTAAAGAACTCTGATGCATTCTTTAGTATGTCAATTACATTTTTCAGCTCCAGCATTTCTGCTTGATTATTTTTAAATATTTCAGTCTCTGTGTTAAATTCATCTGATAGGATTCTGACTTCCTTCTGTGTTTTCTTGAATTTTGCTGATTTGCCTCAAAACAGCTGTTTTGAATTCTCTGTTTGAAAGGTCACATATCTCTAGCCCTCCAGGATTGGTCCTTGGTGCCTTATTCTGTTTGGTGGATTCTTGTTTTCCTGAATGGTTTTGAAGCTTGTGGATGTTCACTGATGTCTAGGTATGAGATTTAGGTATTTACTATAATCTTCACTATCTGGGCTTGTTCGTACCTGTGCTTCTTGGGAAGGTTTTCCAGGTATTTGAAGGAACTTAGTTGTTACAATTTAACTTTTTGGTCACTGTAGCTGTATCTGCATTAGGGGGTACCCCAAGCCCAGTAATGCTATGGCTCTTGCAGATTCATAAAAGTACCACCTTGGTGGTCTTGTATAAGATCCAGAAGAATTATCTAGATTACCAGGCAAGACTTTCTCTCTTCCATTATTTTCTCCCAAATAAATGGAGTCTCTTTTTTTGTGCTGAGCTGCCTAGAACTGGAGAAAGGGTGACACAAGCACTTCTGTGGCCACCGCCACCACTCGGACAGTGCTATGTCAGATCAAAGCTAACACAGCACTGGGTTTTGCCCAAGGCTTACAGTAACCACTGCCTGGCTATTGCCTACATTCACTCAAGGCCCTAGGACCCTACAATCAGTTGCTTGGCCCCAGGCAGGCCCACAGATACCATCTGGGAACCCAGGCCTGGAGTCAGAAACCTTAGTAATCTACCTAGTGCTCTATTCTACTGTGGCTGAGCTGGCACCCAAGCCACAGACAAAGCTCTTCCCACTCTTACCTCCCTTTTCCACAAGCAGAGGAGTCTCTCCCCATGGTCACCACCACCCCAGGCCCATAGTGCGTACCACCTGGTTACTACCAATGTTCACTCAAGGCCCAAGTGTTCTTCAGTCAGCTTGTGTTAAGTGCTGGCAGTCCTGGGACTCTTCCTTCAGGGCAGTGGGCTCCCCTCTGGCCCAGGGAAGGTCCATAAATGCTGTCCAAGAGCCAAGGCCTGGAACCAGGGACCTCAAAAGCCTACTTGGTCCTCTACTCCACTGTGGCTGAGCTGGTACCTACAGTGCAAGACAAAGTCCCCTTTACTCTTCCCTCTCTTTTTTTATTCAAGCAAGAGTCTCTGTAGGCACCACAGCTGGGAATATGCAGGGTCACACCTGAAGCCCACACATCTCTGAGTTGCACATCTCCGGGTTGCACACAAGGTCTATGGGGAGTACTGCCTGGCTACCACTGCTCACTAAGGGCCCCAAAGCTCTTTAGTCAGCAGGTAATGAATCCTGCCTGGACTGGGTCCTTTTAAGGCAGTGGGTTCCCTTCTGGCCCAGGGTGTGTCTAGAAATGTTTTCCAGGAGGTAGGGCCTGAAATGGGGGTCTTAGGACTCTGCCTGTTGCCCTATGCAGTTGGCTGAGCTGATATCCAAGCTGCAAGACAAAGTCCTCTCTACTTTCCTCTCCTCTCCTCAAAAATCAGTAGTCTCTCCTGGAGCTGCAAGCTGTGCTGTGTGGGATTGGGTGAGAGGTGGCATAAGTAGTCCTTTGGCCAGCCTGGTTGGTGTCTCACTAAGTCGTGTGTCTTCCAAGTCCACTGATTCCAAGCCCAGCATAGCACCAGGACTTGCCCAGAAATTGCAGTCCTTGTGGTCTAGACTGCCTTTCAAGCTTATTTAGGACCCCAGAGCACATCAGCCTGTGGTGGCAAGTCTTGCCGAAATTCCAGTTCTGACCACTGGGATAGGCAATTCCCCTCTGGCTGGGGCTGGTCTAAATGCTCCCTCCACGGGCACTGAGTTCTGCCTGGTGTTGCTTTCTGCTGTGACAGGGCAGCACTGAGTTTTAATGCAAAGTCCCACAATCACTGTACTCTTCATCCCCCAAGTACACATTCTCTTGCCACACCACGTGGCCGCTGTCAAGGGATGGGGGAGTGGTGGCATCATCAATTCAAGACTGTTTTTCCTACCCTCTTCAGTGCCTCTTTCAGTGATATTAAGTTAAAAGTAGGTACTGCGATCTCTCATCTGATTTTTGGTTTTTATGAAAGTGTTTTTTTATATGGATTGTTGTTCAATTTGGTGTTCCTGTGGGAAGGATGATTGGTGGAGGTTTCTGTTTGGTCATCTTGTTCGGCCTCTACTGCAAAATGTTAATATTTTTAATGTTATTATTTACAATATTAAGGTAAAACTTACAGTCTTTAAAATGTAACAACATAGTTTTTGTGAATGACAAAGTTTTCTATAAAAGTATTGTAGCTTTGGAGTTATCTCTATACTCCTGGTTATTACACAACTGTGTAATGGCTATTCTGAACTTTAATCTCCAGCCTCCTTACACAGTTGCATAAGATGGCTCTAGTACTTCATAAACTAGACCAAGGGCAAATTAAGATATGGCCTGATGCTTTCTAGGGAGATGTTCTGAGGAGGGATAAAGAAGACTGGGCATGGCGAACTGTAGCCCACCAAGAGTGCTGAATCTGTGACAGTGAAATAAACCTACACTTCAGAAAGTGCTCTGAGAACCTAACATAACTCATCCTTCTATCCTTTGTAAGCAGCAACCTGGGAGGCAGCACCAGGCAGAGTTTTTTAATTAGGCAGCTATGTATTTTGTCAGAAAATTTACTAAGCAGTTGGCTAAAAGAATGATTATCTTGAGTTGCACTAACTCTGATTAGTATCTATTAAACATCTATGGTTTTGGAAAAGGCTCAAAGATAGCCAGCTATGTGCCAAAGAACAGATCAATGGCTACCAATACCACAAGGTTAGCACAAATATAAACCGCATAGTTTGTAGGAAAGGTTTATTTAATGGGGACACTAAGACTATGCAAGATGGTTACTAGAAAAACATCTTTCAGTCTGGATAAATACACAACAAGGGATCATAGTTGAAATACCAGTGACCTTCACAATAGGAAAGGTGGTCAGTTTGTGGAATTTTCCTTTTGGTAACCTGAAGAAGTCATTTTAGCAGTACTAACCATACAGTATATGTCAGGCACTGTAATAAACTCTTTACAAGTGGTACTTCATTTAGTCTTCACAACTCTGAGGTAGGTACTATTAAATGTCCCTATGTTACAAACAAAAAAATTCAGGTTAGAGAGGCTACAGAAGGTACCTGAGGTTTGGGAAGTGTAGAACCAGGATTTAAATCTGGAACTCCTAGGCAAAAACAGTGTTTTAACAATCACAATATACAGCGTTGCCACATTAGTAAAATTTAAAATTTGTTTTTGTTCATTGTTCATTATGTATGTTTTAAAATGTGAGGGTTATAGCTTATCTGTTAGGACAAACTCTAACTTCTAATTGACGGCTAGCCAAACATATCTTCAAAAAATAACTATTATACCTTAGGTTTCAACAACCAAAACAACATATTCAGAAAAAACTAAATTCCTTAATAGATCATTTATTAGTAAATCTTCAATAGCTAGCAACAATCTTTGCCCAAATGAGGTAAGGTCTCCATTTTTGACTGGAACAATTTATTCTTCGGCCCACATGAAATGTTAGGCTAATAGAGGTAAAAATCATGTTTGTCTTGAGTTTCTTAATAGCAATGGGCCTTTTATGTAGTAGATACTCAAAAATCAACTGAGTCAATTAGGTAAAGCTGAGCAGGATAAGGCTTTATTCTCAATTTGCTTTCATCACTCTGAATATAAGAAAATGATTCCAAAATAAACATCCTGTGGTTCTATTAAGCTGTTTTCAACTTTACATTATAAAAATGCTTAAAAGTCGAGATATTATATATACAAAATGAATACCTGAATTCAAAGATATATCTAAAATGCAAAGCAGGGGTATTTAAATATTTCAATGTCTAATTTTCGAGGGAACAGGAATTGGCATTTTCTAGCTTCCATATATTTAAACCAATTTATTAGATAATGACAGGTCTTGCAAATAGCTAGTAGAGTTAATCTGGCAAAGGTGAAAGGGAATCTGCTGTCTTGATCAATCTTGGAAAAGTCTGTACTATATTCCCTCTGGTAGAACATAATTAGGGATTCAAGTAATCCTGTTTGGTGACTGTGGGGTGATATTGCCATCTAATGGCCATTTTTTGCTGCAAGTGATCCCCTTTTCCCACTTATGTGGCAATGAAGAGACAATAATCAGGTGCATACACTTAAGCACTCATCTTTACATCTCACTGAATTATAAAGTCCTTGAGGAAGGGACCATGGCTATGTATTTTCTTTCCTGAATTAGGTATTTGTTAACATCGAGGTGAGAACATGTTCCAGACCCACTTAAATAAGCATATGAGAAAGAACATTTCATTCTTCATTCTACTCCACCTTCCCCCACCCCTAACTCTTCTGATACTCAGGCCTGCTTACAAGCTGCCAACTGGAAAAATTGTGGTGGACTATCTCAAGTAAGTTTCCATTCTCATGACCACATTACCAATGTAAGTGGCACAAAACAGATTATTAATTAATCGATTAATTAAGCAAATTATACATTACTGGTTTATCTTTACTTCCAAAGGCTTATCTTTACTTCTAAAGAAAAATAAGGCAGTGAATTCCTCCAGTTGCCAAATAAAATGCAACCAAGTTGTTGGCAGAATTTCAGAATCATTATAATGATTCTAATAGCCATGTTTTATTGAATGCTTATAATGTGCTAAACATTGTTCTAATTGCTTTATGTGCATTGTATCACATAATCCTCAACAAACAAAAAACAACAAAAATGTTTAGATTTTTTAAAATATGCAAATATCTCTAATAAAGTTATTTATTTTAGTTACCCAAATTACTTTGAAAAAATGGACTGCTTTGGCAGATAATTATTCTTTGCAAGACATATACTGAATGACCCAAATTTATAGATGAAAGAGAGTTTATTTATTTATTAATATATGATAACCTTGGCTCAAAAAGGAATTACAGTAACTTTAAAAATATATTAAACATATCCAAGATCCTAAATATTATTCTCCCCAAAAGCTAGCTGCTTCCATACTTGATTTGATATTTTGCATGTTTTCCCTACGTTGCTTGGTAAATATATTTGCTTCTCCTTTCTGCAATCGACGTCTGACAGCTGATTTTTGCTGTTTTGTCAACTGACGTTTCACCTTCTGTTTCACCAGTTCCTGGAAAGATTTCATAAATTAGCATTACTAATAATGAACCATTTCAAATAGTACACTGCTAATACCTTTTCTATTTATATACTGAGAGCATGAATTTTTAAGATTCCAAACACTATATAGTACTTTCCAAAAGCACTATATAGAAACTGTTATATAGGAAAAATTAAATTCCAAACAGAAATACAGATTACATAGAAAAAATACAGTGTATAGGCAGAATTTTTAAAAAATTACCATAGTGCCACCTAGTGGTCCATCATGAAAACTGATGGGAAAAACAAGATGAAAACTGCTTGTTCCTCTGCGTTTTAGGTTAAAAGGCTCTCAGAGTAGGTTTTGTAATAGAAAATTATTTTTGAAAGCATTCAGTATTGCTCAATATATCCAAGAATTCCTTCACAGTTTCAGCTGTAGAAATGACCTGATGGTAGCAATCACCCAAGGAAAAGTCTTCATATCTCTTTTGATCATAAATTAAAATTACTTATTAAAGATATACCATGCATGGCATATGACTTACAAAATGAATAAGAAATGTGAAATAGGGTTCACAATGACCTTTTCTTTCTCTGAAACACTATAGTCTGCCATTTAATAACTGTATATAACCTTGTATCATCCAACTTGTCTCCTAAAAAAGAAGATACCTGCAAAACGCTGCAAAGCCGGGAACAAGGGTCTTCTTTTTTTTGAGACAGGGTCTTGCTGTGTTGCCCAGGTTGGAGTGCAGTGGCAGGAACACAGTTCATGGTGGCTGCAACCTCCTGGGCTCAAGTGATCTTTCTGCCTCGGCCTCCTGAGTGGCTGGGAACACAGGTGTACACCACTACACCTGGCTCATTTTTAAATTTTTTGTAGATGGAGTCTTGCTATGTTGCCCAGGTTGGCCTGAAACCCTTGGGGGCTCAAGCAATCCTCCCACCTTGGCCTCCCAAAGTGCTGGGATCACAGGTCTGAGCCACGGTGCCCGACCAAATCTGTACTTATAATTTTATACCATTGGCTTGGCATGGTGGCTCACGCCTGAAATCCCAGCACTTTGGGAGGCCAAGGTGGGCGGATCACCTGAGGTCAGGAGGTTGAGACCAGCCTGGCCAACATGGTGAAACGCTATCTCTTCTAAAAATACAAAAATTAGACAGGCATGGTGGTAGGCAATGGTAATCCTAGCTACTCAGGAGGCTGAGGCAGGAGAATTGCTTGAACCCGGGAGGCAGAGGTTGCAGTGGGCTGAGATCACGCCACTGCATTCTAGCCTGGATGACAAGAGCAAAACTCCGTCTCAAAAAAAACAAAAACAAAAAACAAACAACAACAAAAAATGTTATACCATTAACATATAAGTCCAAGCGTCTGAGGCTGTCTTATACACCTTGTAATCCTCACAGTGACCAAGCTCATTAATCTTCAGCTCATATGAAGAATGATTCATTCATCTCAAACCTGATCAATTTATCAAGTGACCTACGTTAATTTTTTGAAAGTCATTGGTTTGTATTCTAAGAAAAAATTACTTGAAATGTAATCAACAGGCTGCCTAAAATCTGAAGGACAACTGAAAAAGGAAGTATTTTGAGTTTTACCAACAAAAAGTCATTTGGCCTTCATTTTACACATGACGGTGGCAGGATACAACTCTGCCACATCCTTTGAGAAACATTCATTTATTAAAATCAAAGAAAGTACTGGTTTCAAGACTTAATTCAAAAAGCAATCAACAGAAATCTGGACCTGAAAAGCATACATTATTTGTTTAATGAGACAAGGCAATCAGATCACAGTAGTGATGTAATAAACATTCAGTACATGTTGAATGACTACTTACCGGAGGAATTGTTGAACAGCTTACAACACTGCCTGAAGAAGTGATACTCAGAGTTCTTGTTCTATACTGATTCATAGCTCCCATATTTTCTTCATCTCTAAAATTAAAAAACCCGCAATGTATCTAGTTAATTTGTATAATGTAATGAATCCCATTTGATTATATTATTTTTTGCATGCAGCAAAATTGAAGACATAAAATACTTCAGAAAGATTATATCTTAAAATTTCTGTGAAGATAAAACTACCTACTGTTAAGTTCTATATAATTTTCATTTTCCAGCATTTTGTTAGTCACTATCAAAATTTAAAAACAGTAGAATGCTTTAGCCATTGAAATTCATCACCTCCCCACAATTCATCTTCCCTTTTCTAATAATCCTCTCCTCTTCTTTCACTGAACTATATAAATCTGTTTCTCCCTATCTAAATTTTTGAGACTCTTTCCACCTTCACAAACAACAGAAGATATAATGGAAACAGACAGTACTCATGATAGTCAGCTCCGCTAGGGTAGGAAAATCTGCAACCTAGAGACGAATGTTTTCACATGGCTCAAAGTTTCAATACATGGAATGTATAAAAACTCATAACTCCTAACAGTTAATATTTTTCAGCAACATCTGCTGTTTTGCTTTTACTCTGAATGAAAGTTTTGCCCAGCATGTATCCAGAGAGTGAGAACAAAATTATTGTTCCCACTCTGAGTTTAAAAGACCATTTAATCCTATGTAGGTTTTCTTCTATCACTGTGATGGTTAATTTTACATGTTAACTTGACTGGGCCTCAGGGTGCCAGATATTTGTTTAAACATTAACTTGGATGTGTCTTTGAGGGTGTTTCTGAATCCATAAACTGAGTATAGCAGATTGCCCTCCCCAGTGTGGGTGGACCTCATCCAATCCATTGAAGGCCTGATCAGAACAAAAAGGCAGAGTAAGAGAGAACTGTCTTTGAACTGGGACATAGATCCTCTCTTTTCTTTGGATGTGGACTGGAACTTACACTACTGGCTCTTCTGGCTCTCAGCCCTTTGGATTTGGACTGGAACTGTACGATGGGCTCTCTTGCGTCTACAGCTTGTTGACTACAAATCCTGGGACTTCTCAGCCTCCGTAACCTCATGGGCTAATTCCTTATAATAAATCTCCATTTCTGTTTGTCTGAAGAATCCAGTCTAATACAATCACTCAAAATTCTGAGCCTCTGTCACCCCTGATTCTTTTCCTTTTAAGCTTCTGATTTAATTTTCTAAGTTTATTATTTAAATGGCAGTAGCCCTGTGACACAGATACACAGCTATATGAAAAAGGAACAAAATTCTTATGTTTTGCTTCATGAATAAAACTGTAAAGATAAAGGTAGGCTTAAGATATAAGCCCAAATATGTACTGAAAAATGTTTAATAAATGCATTGCTGAAGTAATTTTAATTGTCATATTACCATATTGAAATAAATAAAACCAGTAGTTCATTAAACTACAGTTTGATTCTGAATAAGCTATCCCAAATCCAAAAATTAAGTTTTAGAACTTCTCCTAAACTAAGCTGAGCCTGATTAATATTTACAAAAAAAAAAAAAATTTTTTTAAAGAAAACATAGTATCATTACATAATTTTAACTACACATGAACAAAGGACAGAAGGCTCAAGGTACTAGAGAAAATTCATTGCAGATGTTTCATATAGAAAGTACATTTACTGCATGTTTTAATATTTACATGCCTTTACATAACTCAAACACACATCAGATGTGTAATTAGGAAAATATGTGAGGAATAACTCATCCATCTAAAACCTGATCAATGTATCCAGAGACCTGTAATAATTTGAAAGTCATCAGTTTGTATTTTTTTTTTTTTTTGAGACAGAGTTTTTCGCTCTTGTCACCCAGGATGGAGTGCAGTGGCGCAATCTTCGGCTTACTGCAACCTCTGCCTCCCGGGTTCAAGTGATTCTCCTACCTCAGTCTCCCAAGTAGCTGGGATTACAGGCACAGGCTACCATGCCCGGCTAATTTTTGTATTTTTAGTAGAGACAGGGTTTTGCCATGTTGTCCAGGCTGGTCTCAAACTCCTGACCTGAGGTGATGTGCCTGCCTTGGCCTCCCAAAGTGCTGACATTACAGGCATGAGCCACTGTGCCCAGCCATCAGTTTGTATTTTAAGGAAGAATTACTTGAAATTTAGTCAATAGGCTGCCTAGAATCAGGTCAACTGAAAAGGAAGCTATTTTGAATTTTTAACAACAAAAAATTATCTGGCTTTCATTTTATATATCAAGGCGGCAGAATACAATTCTGCCACATCATTTGGAAAAAACGCTCATTTACTAGAATCTAAGAAAGTATCGGTCTCAAGACTCAAGTTAAAAAGCAATTGACTGAAGTCTATACCTGAAAGGCCTGAATTCTCTATTTAATGACAAGGCAATTAGATGAGGGCATTCATCGTCATACTCCTCAGAGCCAGCAGGGACTCCTCCTTGAACTCTCTGACCATCTTGCCCGTTGTAATTTTCAGTTCTGCTTTTCTCCTCAGAAAATTCAGTTACAGAGTTGTTTTCAACAACCTGCCCTTTTATTTCTTCTAAAGCTTGATTGAATTCAGTCATTTCAAAACACCGTGCATCAGCACTCTCTTTTGATAAACTGTCTTCCTTTATTTGTTCAGGGTCTCCAGATGATCTGCAATAGCAGCCCTCTGATTCTTCTAGAGAGTTCTGTTCACTTTCATTTTCTGACCTATAAACCTCTGCTTCTTCTGCCACTTCTCCATCTGAAAATGAGAATTCAGATCTCTCTTCTGTTTCAATATTTTTATCATCTGGACCTAATGGATGAAGCAGTTCATCATCTGCCTGCATTTCCTTCGTGTAGCCACTGGCAGAAACCTCCACATCAAGAGTGTCTTCCCTCCTAGAAAAAAAAAGTTGTCAAGCATTGAAAGAGAGAAAAAATGTTTATCTAAGAGGAGTAATTATCTACTACTCTGATAAATTATGATTCAAGTGAGTTCAATAGCTTATATGTTAAAAATAATTTTTTCCTTTCCTAAAATGTATTTAAATGACACAGGTATACAAATATGAAAGGTATATGCTGGCTATAATTTTAAGAATAAAGTAACTGAAAAACAACAATATAAATAAAAAGGTTATAAAAACCTCAGCTTATGTTTATTAGCTTTGTAAATTAACTTTCAAAGGGGGCTAACGATTTTCTTCAGATTATGTGACTCATCCCAGATCAGAAAATATCTTCAGTGTATAAAATAAATATGAGAAAACTGAGTTTTGAGAATGCACATAATAATTATGTCTTGAGAATCAATTAAAGATACCTCCTGGGGCCGGGCGCGGTGGCTCCAGCCTGCAATCCCAGCACTTTGGGAGGCCGAGACGGGAGGATCACGAGGTCAGGAGATCGACGCCATCCTGGCTAACACGGTGAAACCCCGTCTCTACTAAAAAATAAAAAAAAAAACTAGCCGGGCGAGGTGGCGGGCGCCTGTAGTCCCAGCTACTCGGGAAGCTGAGGCAGGAAAATGACATAAACCCGGGAGGCGGAGCTTGCAGTGAGCCGAGATCCGGCCACTGCACTCCAGCCTTGGCGACAGAGCGAGACTCCCTCTCAAAAAAAAAAAAACAGATACCTCCTGGTCCCGATAAAGGAAAAAACATAAATTTCAATGAACGTTTGGTGTGATTCCTTATGAATGAGTTACTCTCATAGCATCCAAAATAGAATAAAAGTTATTGAGTTTATAAGAAACTAGATATGTTCCCTTTCTAAAATTCAATAGCAGTGCCTTAATGGACCAAATGCAGGTATTTTCAAGTTTTAAGTTTCAGTTATGTACTACAGAGCAATGACATCTAACAGTGACTATATGTCAAAATTTGAAAAGTTTTTTAGATGAAAATATTAATTTTTAGAAATACATAGTCCAGATATTTAAACTATTATGTAAAGCAATGGGGAGTACAAACCTGATATCCCTAAAGGTTGGAAAAAGCTCACTTTCGTAGCTGAAACGTTTCATGAAGAAATCTCTAATGCATTTAACATCTCTGTCAAAATACCTGCAAAAGCAAGAATCATTTATGATGTAGCCTTTAATGCTCCTTTTTCCTTATTAGCCAATGAAAATATCCTTATTGGTTAATGGTACTGCTGCTCCTTACAAAAGGAGATAAAAGATGTTACACAAAGGAAAAGAAGATACAAATGAGTTACCAGTGTGTTTGAAAAACTAAAATCCAAGAAAATCTCAAGGATATAAGCTGTCAATGCCATGCAGTTCCTACGGTTAGGAAAGTCAAGGTTTTCTCATAGTTACTGGTATATAGTTAGATACACTAGGGAAAGATAAGTGTGAACCCCAGGAAATAAGACTACGGGCCTATGGTTTAGGGATAGGTTTCCACTTATTCTCCTCGTCCTGAATCTGGCTATGCTTCCCATCAGCAACACTCACTAGAACCTCTAGCCAACTGAAAGATCTGAAGATAAAAAGATATTAATATTAAATAGTTAAGTTTGGAGACTACCAAGTTATGTTTACGGCTCTTTGTTATCCATTGGCCGATTTGCAATAATACCCAAAGGGATAAATCATGCTACAGCTTATAAAAATAATCTGACGACATGTTAATCTGGACCAAAAGTAGAATAATTTCTGAGTATCAGGCTGCCTTATGGGACACCATAAAGCAGATTAATCACCATAAAGAGATTCAATTCTCTAGAAGATTTCCAGACAAGGGAGAATTTAGGACAGGATAACAAGGAACTGACTATCTCTTTGAGAAAGATGAGTTTGGAAACAGGAAGATAATGCCTCTCCTCTTTGCTCACAGGGCACTCCGGGAAAAATATTAATATATTTTAAAAAGACTATTTTATATACGTTTACATTTCCATACGAGACAGTAACATCTTCTAAAGCATATATAGGGCTTATTTATATCTCAATCTCTAGCAATTAGCACAGCTCCTTGGCCCCAGTACTGGTTCAAAAAAATTGAAATTAAATCACAACATCTCCCCATAGAACGATGCAGCCTAAACCTAGAATGTCATCATCTGTCACACTCTGGGGGCTCCTAGATGTTCCTTTATTGTGTGACTATGTTACTCCTTATTAATAAAAATGGTGATTAGTTAACATCCAAAGAGTACTGATCACCCAAGTGCCAGGCATTAATCTTTTAGTATTATTTTGTTGAAAACGTTTTAAAAATTTATTTTCAAATGACATTTCTTTCTGTAGCATTAAGTACAGACATTTTCTACTGGAAACCAGGATGAAGACAAGCTTCACTTAACAAAACTACTTCAAGCTCAAACTCTGCAAGAATTAATATATTATATTATGTAAGTGATACTAGTTGTTAGTTTAGGAAAAAGAAGTTTCTCATAAAGCTTGGAACAGAAAGAAAAAAAAAATCCTTAGTTACACTCAATTGAATCATGAACCACAAGCAAATAAAGGATAAGGTCCTATTTCAGGACTTGGTTTGGTTTAAGTAAGTAATGTGAAGAATATGATTATCGCAGTATATAGTGATTCTGCTCTGTGTCAGAGATAAAGTTTTATGTGAATTTTTTTTCTAATAATAAAAGCTAAAAGTGACAAGAGATAATTATCACTGGTTTGACAACTGAGTCCAGTCCAAAACCACAACTTTTATTCAGATCATCAAGATTGCTGAGTTATGCTTGGTGAATCTCTCTTGGAGGCAATCATGGAAGAGCAAGAAAAAGAGAAAGGCAAAAGTAGTTCTAGGGGTCCCCACTTCACTCCCAACTTTTACCTGTTTTAACAGTTGGGCTTCCATCTAAAAGTCTGTTTGAACAAAGGGTTCCATGGCTAAGAAAATTTGACTTTCGAAGTCTGTCAATTTACAACAAAGAAATTCAAATTCTTATGGGGAAAACTCTAGTGGTTATACGTTAACACTAGCCACTTCAAACCAGTGACTGACCTAAATAGTATCACAATACTATTTATTGTGATACCTAATAGTATCACAAAATTGAAAAATTATGAAAAAATGATTCTATTCTAAACAAACACATCCACATCCAGAATTAATAATAGCACATACAGGCTGGGCGCAGTGACTCACGCCTGTAATCCCAGCACTTTGGGAGGCCAAGGCGGGCGGATCACCTGAGGTCGGGAATTCGAGACCAGCCTGACCAACATGGAGAAAGCCCATCTCTACTAAAAAAAAAAATACAAAAAATTAGACAGGTGTGGTGGCGCCTATCTGTAATCCCAGGTCCTCAGGAGGCTGAGGCAGGAGAATCGCTTGAACCCGGGAGGCGGAAGTTGCGGTGAGCCAAGATCGTGCCATTATACTCCAGCTTGGGCAACAAGAGCAAAACTCCGTCTCCAGAAAAGAAAATAATAATAAAAATAAAAAAATAGCATGTACGTACCACTCAGCATTGGGATGAGAAGTTGAAACCATCTGTGGAAAATCAATCATGGTGATATGGTCATTTTCATCCAAAATGAGATTAAATTCATTAAAATCTCCATGAATCAGCCCATGATTTGCAAGTTTGACAATTAGTTCCATAGCTTCATCATATACTGATGCAGGATCTTCAACATGGTGTATCTGACATCTGAAAGTATTTTAAGCATGAATATAGGTTATTTGTATTCGTTTATGATTTTAACAAAAGTATGTATGCATGTGAACACATATATTATTTCCATGCCCTGGCTCCCCAGCAGCTTTCTTCTCATTCCCATCAGCACACAGATATAATATCCCCCATCTATTAAAAAAAATAGCCACACTCTGCTTCAATTCTGTATCTCTTTTCTACTACTACCTTTCTTTGATCTTTACAACCAAACTTGTCTATATGTGCTTTTCCAATTTGTTTCCTCCTACTCTCTAACACCATTTCAAACAGGCTTTCATCCACCTCATTTCAATAGCCCTTGTTGAGACTACCAATGACTTCAATGTTGCTAAAGCCAAATGTCCATTCTTAGTCCTCATCATATGTGGTCTGTCAGTTGACATCTTTGAACATTTCTTCACTTAACTTTTAATGCTTAACATTGGGATGAGAAGTTGAAACCATCTGTGGAAAATCGATCGTGATGATATGGTCATTTTCATCCAAAATGAGATTAAATTCATTAAAATCTCCATGAATCAGTCCATGATTTGCAAGTTTGACCATTAGTTCCATAGCTTCATCATATACTGATGCAGGATCTTCAACATGGTGTATCTGATTTACAAGTCTGACAATTAGTTCCATTCTCTCCAGGTTTTCTTCCTTCCTCATAGATCACACATTCTTAGTCTTTTCTATTTGTACTTCATCTTTTTCCTTGACCTCTAAATTCTGGAGTTCCTCAAAGGTCAATCCTATGACCTTTTATTTTCTCTTATTTAGACTCACTCTTGGTGATCGCATACAGATTAATGGTTTAAATACCACATATACACTGATTTTAATGTAGACTTCTCTAACTCCCAGGCATCTCAAACTTAGCATGTCCAAAATGGAATCTCTGATTCTGTCCCATCCTCCAACTCCAAAATGCTCTTCCTGTAGCTTTCCTCTTTCTGTACATGGTAGCTTTCTCCCTCCAGTTAATTTGCTACTCAGGTCAAAAACCTTGGTGTCACCATTGTCTCATTCCTTCCTTCACATCCATATCCAATCCCAAATCATGTTGGTTCAACCTGCAGAACACATTCAGAATCTGACTGCTTTTCATCACCTTCACAACTATCACTGTAATCAGAATTACAACCATTTCTTGCCTAGATTATTGTAATGGCCTCCTGACTTGTCTTCAAATTATGTCTTCGTCTCCCCAGAGTCTATTAATTCAGCAGGCAGAGTGACCCTCTGAAAACACTGAGATCACTGATTGATGAGATCACATCTCTTCTCCGCTCAAAATACTCCCACTCCAATAGCTGCTAATCTGAATCAAAATTTGGTAAGGTTTCACCTTACTAGTGAGACTTTTCTTGACCACCTTACATAAAACAGTAGTCTCTTGTCCCGTTAGTACTTCCTATCTCCCTTAAACCCTGCTTTTTTTTTTATCCATAGTACTTACTAACAATTGACAGACATTTCCTTTAGTTATTTATTGCACATCTCCTTCCATCAGAATGTAAATTCCATGAGGGCAGGGATTTTGTTTTGTTCACTATTGAGACTAAAAGGGCCTGGCACCTAACAGTCTCTTAATATGGAATGAATGAATGAATCACAGAGATTACAAAGCTCATATTGTCAGAATGAAACTGGGTTTTTAATTTGTCTTTGAGTCTATTCCTTTAAATCAATTTTTAACCTCCCAGAGGTAGTATTTCATTAACTAAAAAAACTTTTATTAAAAACCCTGAAACCTAAATTCATTTATCAGGATTCATGGCTTTAAGAATAATGAATACTTACAGTGGATAACCATTTATGAGTTCCATGACAACTGCATGACGATTGTAATCAATTGGCTTCGGAACTGGAAATTTCCTCTCATACAATGCCTAAAACATTGCAAAACAGGTGTAAGCTAATGAACAGGTCACTACTCTTTAAAGAACAATTAAATATATACCTTTCCACAGAAAAACACACAATCCTTTATAAAATTATACTTAACACATGGTTATTTATGCATAGCTTATTTATTCACTGCACAGAATAAGCCATACATAAAAAGCAAATTTTAAACAAAAGTTTGAATTCACTTTTCTGCCAAAAATGAACATTTACAAAATGTTATGCACTGTGCTGGGGTTACAAAAATGAGTGTTAAAAAGTTTCTAAACAATCTAAAATTAGTGTTAAAAAGCCCCCAAGAAGCTTACAGTCTCTTGGGGTATATCCTTTCGTATTTTGTAAGTCTCTGACATTCGTTGAAATGTGCTCAAAATATTCAAATTGGAAACAAATTGTAATTTAGGAGATACTCATCTTCTGACATATTAGGAAATGAGGCATTCTAAGAGATCAGCCATTTTGGTTTATAGGGCACCGACCTTTTTCTCCACCACAATATGCAATATAAATCTATTATGTGAAAAACATATACACTGTTGTTGTCTGATTCAAATGTTAGACTCTCCATACATCTTTTCCCCTGTGCTTACTGTCTTCAATCTTACTGTTTACAAAGCCCTGCTATTACTTTCTTTAAAATACCTCAGATTTATGCCCTTTGACATTTAGAATGCTAGTATTAGGAATGGCAAAAACTGCAATTACTTTTGCACCAACATATACTTGTAAGGAGGCATTTGTTATTTATACCTCATTACTCCACAGGTGTTCTAGCTTTTGCCATCATACCTAACCTATTCTATGTACTAATACCAGACCAACCTGCTGATGTTAATACTCCATTTAAAAATATATATACATTGGATCGGGCACAGTGTCTCAACGTCTATAATCCCAGCACTTTGGGAGGCTGAGGTGGGTGGATCAGTTGAGGTCAGGAGTTCGACACCAGCCTGCCAGCATGGTGAAACCCCATCTCTACTAAAAATACACAAAAAAATTAGCCAGGCATGGTGGCACATGCCTGTAGTCCCAGCTACCTGGGAAGCTGAGGCAGGAGAATCGCTTGAACCCGGGAGGCGGAGGTTGCAGTGAGTTGAGATCATGCCACTGCACTCCAGTCTGGGCGACAGAGCAAGACTCCGTCTCAACAACAACAAAAAATAATTTTATATTGGCTGTAAATATTCTTTTCAGTTTGAACAACTTTTCCTGGTTTTCAAAATCCACCTGTACAGTCCTAGTTCTCCCAATATTCTCTCCAGTACACACCAACAAATGCAGTCAGGACAGTTACCTCAGTGTCACCTAAACACATAGGGCTCACACACATTCATGTCATTGTCCATACCACTTCTCTGCCAAAATGCACTGTTTTAGGGTCAAATAATACCCAAGTTTTATGGCTCCACTCAGCTCCACTCACTACCTGAAACCTCCTCCATCAACTATTCTATCACTTACTGAAGTTTCTCTAAACTCAGTATGTAATTAAAAAAAAAATTGTTCTTAGGCTTGCAGTGGTGGCTCATGCTTATAACCCCAGTACTTTGGGAGGCTGAGGTGGGTGGATCTCTTGAGGCCAGGAGTTTGAGAGCAGCCCGGGCAACACAGCAAGATCCTGTCTCTAAAAGCAGGCATGGTAGCACATGCCTGTGGTCCCAAATACTTGGGGGGCTAAGGTGGGAGGACAGCTTGAGCCTAGGAGGTCAGGGCTGCAGTGAGCTGTGATCGTGTCACTGCACTCCAGCCTGGGAGACAGAGTGAGACCTTGTCTCAAAAATAAATAGATAAATAAAAGATTCTGTTTCATATGTGTTTGTGTTATCTTCTCAACTTTAAGACACAGATTGTACTGGTTATTTCTTTGGCATCCACTCCTTCACCCTACACTAAACCCCAGCAATTAATTTCAAAAGGTTGCCTATCACTTACCTTCTGTGAACAAGAACCAAACAACTTTCCACTTCCCAGATATTTTTCTTTGCTTTGTTTTTACATACTTTTTTTCAGTGTAGACCATTTTGAGCATACCTTGGCAGATCAATAGCATGTGATAAATTCAAAGATTGTGAATATTTGTCCAGAACTTGTGCTATCACCTAGAACTCATGCTATAGCCCAATCTTTATCGTATTGTTCCTCTCTTATGAAAAATCAACATATTTAAGGTGTACATTTATGTGCAACCAGATTCCATTCCTATACCTTCAATATAAGTATCCTGAAAAACACCTACTACAGTTTTGGGAAAATGTGTAAATGATCCCTACCAAGCTGCTCATTTACTGACTGAATATTACAAGATACAAGCTATTAGTATAAAACAAGAAATACATTAACATGTATGGTATCAGTAATACTAATTTATACTGCCTTAAGAAATCTCCCATGATTAATGAAAATGTAAGTATACAACCCACTCAAAGAACAAGCTGAATCCTCAAGGAACAGTGTGTTCACACACTGTAGCAATCTTCAAATTTTTTTGAAAAATGAAGATAAACTACGACAAATCATACTGGCAGAATAATAAAAACACAATATTACCTTTTGTTTAACTTAGTTATTGTTGAATATATTTAATTTGGATATTATTATATTTAACAAACCTATGCTGAACTTAATTTTGAAGGCAAAAAGTTAAAAATAAAGGCACTTTTTTTTTTAAATGTCAGGGGAGAGTACAAATGTAGTCCGCCAGTACCCCAAAACGTGCAGTCAAGTTCCAATATTTGGGGTAACTGCAGGGGTCAGCACACCTGAAATGCAATGAATAGGCCTAACCCTGAGAAAACCATCTTTGAGAGTTTGGCATTTCATCTGCCAGGTTAAGTATTTGTTTTCTATTTGTATAAATGTATGAGGTACATACAACATTTTGTTAAGTATATATGAGTAGTGATCAAGTCAGGGTATTTAGTGTGTTCATCTCCTGAGTCCAATACATTTTGTTTACTACGGTCACCCTACCCTGCTATCAAACATTGAATGTATTCCTTCTAATTGTATGTTTGTACCCTTTAACTCACTTCTCTTCATCCTTACCTCTTAAAAACGAAAGATTTTGGCCGGGCGCAGTGGCTCACGCCTGTAATCCCAGCACTTTGGGAGGCCGAGACGGGCGGATCACGAGGTCAGGAGATTGAGACCAGCCTGGCTAACACGGTGAAACCCCATCTCTACCAAAAAAATACAAAAAACTAGCCGGGCGAGGTGGCGAGCGCCTGTAGTCCCAGCTACTCGGGAGGCTGAGGCAGGAGAATGGCGTAGACCCGGGAGGCGGAGCTTGCAGTGAGCTGAGATCCGGCCACTGCACTCCAGCCTGGGCGACAGAGCGAGACTCCGTCTCAAAAAAAAAAACAAAAACAAAAAAACAGAGGAAAGATTTTTACCTTTTTTGTTTTTTGAGACAGAGTCTTGCTCTGTCAGCCAGGCTTGAGTGCAGTGGCATGATCTTCACTCACTGCAACCTCTGCCTCCTGGGTTCAAGTGATTTTCCTGCCTCAATCTCCCAAGTAGCTGGGATTACAGGTGCCTACCACCATGCCTGGCTAATTCTTGTATTTTTAGTAGGGATGGGGTTTCACCTTGTTGGCCAGGCTGGGCTCCTTACCTCAAGTAATGCACCCACCTCGGCTTCCCAAAGTGCTGGTATTATAGGCATGAACCACTGCGCCCAGCCAATTTTTACCATTTTTAATATACATATAAATCTATAAATGATGTTTGTTCCTTTATGTGAAACAAAAAACTAGCCAACTTATCTGAGACACTGAGGTTTCTACAGATGATAATTACCTGGTGTTTTCAATTAGAAACAGACATATGTATAGCTATATACATTGAATAGATATATATACATCCACACACACATATTTGTGAGGTAACAGCATCATTAATTATTTTTGGCTCTTCCATCTTGTCAGCATTATAGAATGTGTTGCCCTTATGCATTCATAACTATTTAAAATACCTTAACATAGAAGGGAAAAGAGCCCGAATAATCAACAGTTATTTAGGACTGAGTCTGCCTATAGGAATTGAGTCTAAGGTTAGAGAGATGTGGGGACAACAGAATCACACTTGTCATTAAGGCCTTTGAGACACATGTATTATTTGGCTAAAAAATGCATGACTATAAAATAAATACCTTCATATAGGCAAATTCCTTCATGGCAGAGAGACGAGATAAATAAAGCCAAGACACATTATGCCTATGTTTATGATAATCACGTTTGTTTTTCAGATTTCGAAAGGAGGTTCTTCCTAGTCTGTGAAGCTTTAATGCAAATTGTTGTCCTTCTTCATTTGCAACAATGTAAATATCTAGAGGCAAAATTTCAAAAACAACCATTATTACAAGTGTATTCCAATCAGTTAAAACAATTCTAACTTTCTCTGATTTTATTTCAAAAATATCATTTTTCCTAATAAAGGTTGAGTATCCCTCCTTATCCAAAACCTTCAGACCAGAAGTGTTTTGAATTTTGGATTTTGGTATATTTGCACATAAATCATGAGATACCTTGGGAGTTATCAGAATAAAATTAATTCCTGGCATAAATGAACTTTCAGTGATAGACTTTCAGAGAAAAAATAGTAACCTACTAATTAAGGGCACTTTCTGATTTTTATTGCTTCCAATCAACTTTCCGATTTACTGTTTAGTTAGAGAAAAGGGAAAATTAAAAGAGGAATGCTTTCTGAAGGAAAAACATAAACTAAAGCAAAGAAAATACTTTGCACAGCACTATTAGCACTTACCTGATTCTTTGCCAACACCCATCTGGTTTCCAACAGACTCAACTACTTGCCTAGAAGAAAGTGTTTTCAAAGCTAGGTAATCATATCCTGCATTTGTCAACCGATAGCCCTGGACAGCTAGACAAAATCAAAGGAGAAAGACCATATTTCAGTTACACTGTACAACCAAGTCACATAAGTTCAAGTCATAAGAAATATTTAACAATGGAAAGTCTTCGTTGGAAAAAGATAAACTACCCAGGCTCACAAGTTTCCAATTTCTTCCTATAATTTGCATTTCTTCTCCAATGTACTGATAATCAAAATGTGACCTAAAGACAGGTCTATAAGTATTTGTGACAAGATAAAAGGAGGAATTTAAGTTCAATTTTTTTAATCAATTTGACCTAGAATTTTTGTCTGTTTTTGTATATCAATTATCCATTTCATTTTTCTAGTAATTTTTCTTTTGTAATTTATAAAAGGAAGGATATGTGATAGGCTGGAAAAAACTAATCCCTCACCACAGATGGTTTCAGAAGTAATGATCCAGGGTATGACTGCTGATTATATTTTCCAAAGATGGTAGCCACAATATGTCTATCCTACATGCTCTTCTGCAGTACCTACATGCTCTTCATGCTCTTCTGCAGTACCTACATGCTCTTCATGCTCTTCTGCAGTACCTACATGCTCTTCATGCTCTTCTGTAGTACCTACATGCTCTTCATGCTCTTCTGTAGTACCTACATGCTCTTCATGCTCTTCTGTAGTACCTACATGCTCTTCTGCAGTACTCTACATGCTCTTCTGTAGTACCTACATGCTCTACTGCAGTATTTTATAGGCTCTTCTGCACTACCTACATGCTCTTCTGCAATAGTCTATACGCCCCTCTGCAGTATCTACCTGTTCTTCAGCAGTACTCTACATGCTCTTCCATAGCACCTACGTGCTCTTCTGCAGTACCTACAAGCTCTTCTGCAGTGGTCTACATGCTCTTCTTCAGTACTCTACATGCTCTTCTGCAGCACCTATATGCTTTTCTGCAGTACTCTATATGCTCTTCTGCAGCACCTATGTGCTCTTCTGCAGTACCTACATGCTCTTCTGCAGTATCCTACATATTCTTACTACTACTCTTTCTCCACCTCCTTTGATCTGGGTGTGCCCTGTGATTGTTTTGACTAATAGGATATGGCCAAAGTATGTTTTGTCAGTTCTTTGTTTAATATTTACTGGTCTGGCAACTTCTACTTCTTGACTTTTGGAACACTTGCTCTGATGGCAACCGATTACCTGAAAAATCACAAACGGTGCCTCAAAATACTTACTTTTGGTACGCTCCCAAGCTATGAGTTTATGTTTCACTAATTCTCTTAAAACTTTATTACAGCCACCATGTTTAAGGCTGGCTATAGAAGCAATCAAACTGCCGGGAACAATTTCATGGTTCTTCATGCCCATTTCAACCTGAAATTAAAGGAATCATTACATAATCATAATCAAACCTTTGTCTATCAAAACCCTGTGAAGAAATTAACTTCTCCTTGAAACTTTCCTGACTATGCAGTTCTCCAACTAATTCTGAGACATAATCACTTCTGTCTCTGAAAATATTTTTAAATTGCAATTTGAAATCTAATCACTGATATATATATAGTCTTTCCATTTCAAGAGTAGGAACTGTGAGTGCTAGACATACTGATGACATTTGGTAAATGCTAAAATACTTGATGACACTTAAACATTGGTCTTTAAAAACTACAGATGTGCCAGATATTTATTAAGCAGGTATTTAATGAGAAAGTACTAAATGTAGGCATTGTAGAGGATATAGATATAGATATATATGAATAATAGACTGGATAAAGAAAATGTGGCACATATACACCATGGAATGCATCCTTTTTTATGCAGCCATAAAAAAGGGTGAGTTCATGTTCTTTGCAGGGACATGAAACTGGAAACCATCATTCTCAGCAAACACACACAAGAACAGAAAACCAAACACCGCATGTTCTCACTCATAAGTAGGAGCTGAACAATAAGAAGAACACATGGACACAGCAAGGCAACATCACACACTGGGGCCTGTCAGGGGGCTGGGGACTAGGGGAGGGATAGCATTAGAAGAAATACCTAATGTAGATGATGGGTTGATGGGTGCAGCAAACCACTATGGCACATGTGTACCTGTGTAACAAACTGGCACGTTCTGCACATTTACCCCAGAACTTAAAGTATTTTATATATATATGTGCTTTTTATCTCTGAGGAATTTTTATCTCATGATGAAGATTTTTAAAAATGGTATACATCTAAGTTTATTAGAAGGTAAGAAGTGATAACTGCTTAAAAAGGTAGCTCAGGGCAGAATAATACTTCTAGCTGAGGGATCAGTTCCAAAGAAGATGCAAAACTAGAGACTGACTTTTAAAAGATGTGGGCATACAGAGAAAACAGACAAGGGGATATCAGTGAAAGAAAAAGATTTGAAAATGGCACATATGCAAGAAAGTACTACCCACAGAGAATAGCTGAGTACAGTGGCAGCTCAGATGGGATAGCATATAGAGTTCATGCAAACATGGCTGGAAGATACTTCTAGGATAGAGAAGGCATTAAAATGTAGACCAAAGAATTTTATATTTTATCCTGATGAAAGCAGGAAACTCTTGAAGATGTTTAGGCATGGGAGACACATGAACAAGGTTATTTTAAGGACATTAATCTACCAGGAATATGCAAATTGGCTTACAGATGGCAAAATCTGAGGGAGTACTCTGGAGAACTAAGACAGAAGTCCAGCGCACAGGAAAGAGCACCCAGAACAGGGTAAGTGGTAGTGGTACTGGAAGGAAGGAATTAAAGATCTCTAGGAAGTATTATGGGAGAGCTTGGCAATTAAATGTGGAAGGGTAAAGGGAATGCAAAGCCACAACTGGAAGTGAAGAGGAAAAGCAAGTTTTAAGATTTTATATATATATATATATATATATATATATATATATATATTTTAATAGAGCTTAGGAAAAGAGAAAGGGGGTAGAAAAAATTGAATTTGGTCTGAGCACTAAGAGTCAAATAAAAATGTTTAAAGGAAAATTGGCGGCCAGGTGCAGTGGCTCATGCCTGCAATCCCAGCACTTTGGGAGGTCAAGGTGGGTGGATCATGAGGTCAAGAGATTGAGACCATCCTGGCCAACATGGTGAAACCCTATCTCCACTAAAAATACAAAAATTAGCTGGGCGTGGTGGTGTGCACCTGTAGTCCCAGCTACTCGGGAGGCTGAGGCAGGAGAATCGCTTGAATCTGGAAGGTGAAGGTTGCAGTGATCTGAAATGGTGCCACTGCACTCCAGCCTGGTGACAGAGTAAGACTCCGTCTAAGAAAGAAAGAAAAGGAAGGAAGGGAGGGAGGCAGGGAGGGAGGAAAGGCGGAAGGGAAAGAAGGAAAGAAAGAAAAAAAAGAAAGAAAATTGGAAAGGGGCCTATATTTAGGAATGAAGTTATAATTAGAAGGAAAAATTGTCAATTATTTTATAGAAGTGAGAGTTGAAGATATGAAGTGGATGCAATCACTGAGCAAGAGATAATGGAAGAAAAGGAATGTTTGGGAGCAGAATTGTGGGGCAAGTTCATATTGAAAGCTAAGGGCCACTAGTCAAACAATGATTATTGATATAGAAAGAGTCAAAGAAGTAAAAGGGAAGAGAGGCCCAAGAAAGGGTACCAACACTGGTAAGATTCAACTGAGACTACAATGTCATATTTAATGACTAAGTCATTTCTTGGTGAGCTTTACAAATAATTTAAATATTGCAGTGCCACTGTTTTGGAAGATAAATCTGGCATCATTTTGATGTCTCACCAAAACCTTAACTTTTAAATTTAACTTATTTTCCATGCTTTATCTCTGCCTCCCCTATCCTCTAACACTCTTACTTTTGACCCCTACTTCTGTCAGAGGCATTAAGGAATGAGTGTGCTGAGGAAGCAGGAAAGGAAGGTATCTTTCAGAACTGATAAGTTTTCATAGAGAAAGTCCAGCTGATTAGAAGAATCTACATGAGAGACAAAGTAAATATTGTCTTCCAAATTTCACACTGATTTTGCACTTGATAGTTTAATCCTTAAGTGCTATTTAAGATTAATTTTAAAAAGCCAACACTTGAAGCCTTAACATAATACAAGAACCGGTGTGACTCACATCGCATATCCTGTTACATAATTACACAATATAGGTAGTCCTTATCATGGGGTTCACTCCTTACCAAAAGATAACGGCTCCTAAATAAATGTACTGCTTCACTGTATAAATGTCTCGATCTATGTATTAATTTCTGTGCCATAAGACTAAGGCCATAAAACCAGATTTTGTTACTCCCCTGATCAAAAATATTCAGTGGTTACCCCCACACTCTTTACCAAGCCTCCAAGGCTCTGTAGTACATAATCTCTCACCTTTTCCAGGTACATCTCCAACCATTAGTGTCTGTCTCACTTTGCTCCAGCCACACTGGCCTTTCCTGTCTTCAAAGACTTTTCTGTCTCAAGGCCTTTGCACTTATTACTTCTGTTTCCTCTGCCTCCAACTCTTTCCAAGGACTTCACTGGGCTGTCTCCTTCTCACACAGCTCCCATTATTCCCCCATTCATTCTTTCATTTAGAGAATATTTATTCATTGTCTACCAAGGACGTGCCCCTCCTCTCCACCAGATACATATACTTTCTATGCCATTATTCTTTATCATTTTCATAGCATTTATCCATTATCCTACGTATTCGTTTACTTGATGATCTGTCTGTCTCCACGTGTCTATTTGAATAAGTGAACCTCCTAATGTTGCTACTAAAAACCCGACAAATATGTGTTGACTGAATGAATCAGAAAGACTTCTATGCGACTGAGTCTGTTAGTAGGGAAGTCAATATTATCAAATCTCAGGAGCGGGCCTTAAATCTTTCACAGCTGGTCGGAAGCTCAGGCTCAGAGAAGTTTCCAGGCTACAGAGATGCCAGCGTTTCTTTTCCGCGCAAGGCGAATAGCAGCCGAAAAGAAGAAAATTATTAGAAGACGGGACCTTTGCTCTATCTGGGGGAAGGTAAGGTCCCAAACAAAACCTTTTAAAAAATTCAACTCTCTGATGCTCTCTTCTCCATTCCCAGCTTCTACCACGTCCTGGGTCCCAGAGCGTGCCTCCTCAGATCCCAGAAAACTTGCAGGAACAGGAAGAGGTCACACAGTGGTAAGGGGCAAGGGAGAATAGGAACGGTGGATTTCTTACCGCGGTCAAGACCCTGAAGTCATCTCGGCTCATGTAACGCAACTTGGCCACATTCACCTTCCCCATGGCGGCCCCTGTCCGAGCCCAGATGCCTCTCCCACGACAGCCGGAAAGCACAAGGCAGGTCGTTATCCCGCCCTCTAAGCGCTTTACAGCCGCTGGATGGCTCGCGCACGCGCTGCGTCTTACTATAGGTCCTTGTTAATAGATAGAAGTGCTGTTCTCATTGGTAAAGGAAAATAAAACTACTTGTATGTTTTATGAAGCATATAGTATGTAACAAGTGAACATTTTATTTTTGTGTAATTTTTGCCTTATGACTGAGTTGGCGGAGTATAGATGTTCTCTACAATATGCCATTTTGTTTTCCATATCTGTCAGGACTTGCTGTCTCAATGACGCGTTCCGCCTCTGAGAGCGAAGTGGTTACTTAATGGGAGGAGCAAATTTTTCCTGCAAACGACTACTCTAGGCAAAGTGACTTCCAACAAGAGAGGGGTAAAATAACCTGAGCTAAAGTCCAGACAACCAAATCTGTTAAAGGTAAAGTGGACTGTAATCACACAAGCACGCCCTCTACTCCTAATTGCGCCTGCTCCGGACAGCTCCGGAGGCCATGGTTAATGGAACTCCTGCCCTTGCTCTGTACTTCTCTTAAGTTGGTCCGGGAGGCTTCGGAGCGCGCCTGCGCTGGTTGGGGTAGGTGTTTAAGGTGACGCGTGGAGAGCGCGGCGGTCATCCTTACCTGTCAGGGCGCGTTTACAGAGGAAGTGGCGATTTTGATAGTTTGGCCTGACCTACGCGGGTAGGACTTGGAGGGCCTAGGAGCGATTTAAGGATTTTAGAATAGTTACCCATACTGGCTCTGCAACTCCATAGTGCAACTGTAAGCTAGTTGTACCCCGACAAAGAGGATGACTATGATCTACTCTGTCTTTTCAGCTAGGATAGATAGTGCTCTCAACTCAGAATGGAAAAGGAAAAACAGCCTTCTCTTCCCTCTATATTCAAGACTTTGTCTGCTTTATACTTGAATGCGGCATATCTTGGAATTAACCATATTCAACCAGTGGACATCTCCATGTAAACAGAATTTTTCTTTCTGTACTTAAGAAGTCATAGAAATGATTTTTTTTTTATTTTTTCATTTTTGAAACGAGCCCCGCTCTGTCACCCAGGCTGAAGTACAGTGGCGCGATCTTGGCTCACTGCAACCTCCGCCCCCCAGGTTCAAGGGATTCTTCTCCCTCAGCCTCCAGAGGCTGAGGCGCACACCACCACGAACTGCTAATTTTTTTTGTTTGTTTTTAGTAGAGATGGGGTTTCGCTCTGTTGGCCAGGCTGGTTTCAAACTCCTGGCCTCAGGTGATCTGCCCTCCTCAGTCTCCCAAAGTGCTGGGATTACAGGCATGAGCCACCGCGCCTGGCCAAAAAGTTTTTAAAGAAACCAAGTGACTAGCTTTATTTGTACAAATTTATGGGGTAATGAGAAATTTTGTTACAAGTGTTTAGGGTGTCTGTCATCTAAATACAATATATTTTTGTTTAACTATAGTTACCCTACTCTGCTGTCAAACATTGAATATATTCCTTTTATCTGACTCCAAGTTTGTAATCTTTAACCCACTCTGTTCATCCTGCTAACTCATCCTTCCCAGTCTGTTATCTATCTTTCCACTCTCTTCCTCCATGTGGGAGCTCTGAAATTTTTTAGCTCCCACATATAAGTGAGAACATGTGATATTTGTCTTTTTGTGCCTGGCTTATTTTCCTTAAGGTAATGACCTCCAGCTCCATCCATGTTACTGCAAATGGCAAGATTTTATTTTTTATTGCTGAATAGTACTCGATTGTGTATTTATACCACATTTTCTTTATCCATTCATCTGTTGATGGACACTTAGGTTGATTCCATATCTTTGCTATTGTGAATAGTGCTACAATAAACATGCAAGGTATCCCTTTGATATACTGATTTCTTTTCCTCTGAGTAGATAGATACCCTGTAGTGGGATTGCTGGATTGAATAATTCTATTTTTAATTTTTTGAGAAATCTCCATATTCTTTTCCACAGTGGCTGTACTAATTTACATTCTCATCAACAGTGTATAAGAGTTCTCTTTTCTCCGCATCCTCACCAACATCCATTATTTTTTGTCTTTTTAACAGTAGCCATTTGGTCTGGGATAAGAGAATATCTCATTATGGCTTTGATTTTCATTTCTCTTATGGCTAGTGATGTTGAGCAATTTTTCATATACCTGTTGGCCATTTGTATGCAAATAACTAACTTCTAAAGCAAGAATGGAATGGAAAACAGGCCATTTCTGTTTCTACTCCGAATCCAGCCCTTTAGCAGATGTTCCTAATCTATTATGGCGTAATTCTTACATTATTTCTCAACATTGCCCCAGACAGCCACCATTAACTGAGTGGAATTGACTGGAATTGCTATTGGTGTTCTGAAGTATGCCTTAGGGTTAATCAAATTAAGTCCAAATCTCTTATACTTGGAATATTACTTTTAAAATAAAATCATCATAATAATCAGACCCTTGAAGAGTAAAAGTAAGTGATTGAAGTACAGTTTGGTATTCTGTTCTACTCCCTCATACCATGCTTAGTGATGAGTAAAACAAAACATGTACAGTATTCATTAACACATTCACTATTCATCAAACATATATGCCATACTTTTTTGGTAGGTCATGGGGAATCAATCTCAGCCCTTATATCTGTGTTGGAGGGTGAAGAGGAAAAAATTAGTAGTGTGACACAGATGTGCAAAAGGTGTATCATGTTGGTGTTTCCTCCCCCCTTACCTCCGCTGCTCTAACCCTGTCCTTACAAGTTACAGAAAACCTTAACTGTCTACAGATCAAAGTTCATATTTAGAATGGCATTCATGATTATGAACAGTCTATATCACTATCTTCAAGTAGCTTGTACTCTTGTTTAATTGAACTACTTTTGTTTTCCCTATATAACTCCCTTAAATTTCTTTTTCACTAACTTTTCCCTTCACCTGTAATACTTTTCCCTCTACCTGTAATATTACCCCTTCCCTACTATTTTTCTTTTTTTTCAATCACAATATATGTAAATCTTATCTACCATTAAAATTGTATTCACCACATAAGGTTTTTCTTTATTATTCCTATTTATCTCTATATTAATTTTCTCTTGCTGCTGTTAACATATTACCACAAACTTTGATGACTTAAAACAGTAGAACTTTATTCTTTTATAGTTCTGGAGGCTGGAAATAAGAGATTATTTTTACTGGGTCAAAATCAAGGTGTTGACAGAACCGTATTCCCCCAAGAGGCTCTAGTGGAGAATCTGTTCCTTGCCTTTTGCAGCTCCTACTGGGATTTGGTGGCTGCTGGCATTCTTTTGGCTTGTGACACATCACTCCAGTCTCTGTCTCCATGCTTATGTTATTGCCTTTTCTACTCCTGAGCGTGTGTGTTTCCTTCTGTCTCTATCTTAATACAAATACATGTAATTGCACTTAGGATCCACTCAGACCCTTAATAACATCTGTAAAATATTTTTTTCCATATCAGATAAATTCTTAGGTTCTAGAAATTAGTATGTGGATATTTTTGGACGGGTCATCATTCAATCTCTCACACTCCCAAAGGGAAGTAAGTGCTCCACCCTCTAATCTTCTGTAGCCTGTTGTCTTTAATGATTCTGGCCACTTTTTAACCTCTCCTCCTTGCCCATAAGTTAGGTTAATTGCAGAAAAAGTTGAATGTGGAGATTGAATTTAAAGCTTAGATTCAAGAAAAAGAAAATTTGTATATTTATATTTAAGATATTATACTAGCTAAAACTCAGAAAAAATTATGATAGATTTTACTGCATATGGGTAGTAGTGCCATACATTTGCATATAAGGGATATCAGTGGTGGGAAAAGACACAGAATGGAATATATGGTTGTGTGGAGTTTATGACAAGTTTCAATGAGAGACTCACAACACAAACTTGTTGAATTCAGAAGCATGTTCAGAATACACAGCAGAGATTTATATACCTTTTGAAAAATAGCTCCTGGCATGCTACAGAGCCCTGGGAGTGATGTGTTGCTTGGCGCTGAGATATCACTCAGGTAACATTGTGGTCACAGTTGTTCAGTAATGATCTATCCTAAGATGAAAGTGGTGAACACAAGCAGGACCAGAGGGTGCAAGCTGCATGAGCAGGTGGACTGGACTCTTTCATGTCGTCTACTACCATTGCCCAAGTGCCTTTCCCTCAGCTTATACCTCCATGGGTGATACCTTTGATCAGTTGGTAAAGCAAAAAAAGCCCACATTAGATTCGCGGATGGGTCAGTTTGATATTGTAATTGAACTACAGCTCCATTTGTGTGTCCTTGAAAGAGAAGTGATCAGGGAATATGCTCCTGATGGGCAGATCTTTGGAAGGTGCACTTCATCATGCACTTTGTGTAGTAAGAGAAATAGTCCTAGGTTAAAATATACATGGACTCATGGGGAAGGGTGAATGGCTTGGCTGGTTGGACAGGGACTTGGAAGAAGAAAAATTAGTAGATTGGTAAGAAGGATGTCTGAGGTAGAGGGGCATGAGAAAGGATATATGGGTGTGCATAAGAAATGTGAGTAAAGGAACTGGTCCGTGGCCTGGGGGTTGAGGACCTCTGCTTTCGAGTCAAAAGCCTCAAGCCTCCTTTGGCACTACACCACAGTTAAACTTTTTCCTTTGCCTAATTCTACTTCTTTCCCTGCTCTTCTTAAAGAGTTGTTCATAGGAGCACTCTGCATTAATATTCCTGCATGCCACTCTGCAGTACAAAGTCGGCTTCGTGGGAAAGTCCACCTTCACCAATGTTTTTCTGGGCCTTCAGCATAGTGATAATGGGACGCTTCCATAAAGGTGGATAGGCAAAATAAGACCTCCAACTGAGAGATATTATCATTGGCTTAACTCTGACACTAACTAGTTTTTTGATCTTGGGTATGCTTTTAACTTCACTCATTCAAACAAGTTTTTATTTTGAATGTTTACAATGCATTTTGGTAGACAAAACTCAGTTCCTTTACTCAAGAAGTTTATAGGTTTAAAGGGTCTTAGGTTCTTTATTTGTATTATGA